TTAGGGGGGGATAGAAGGTGGGGGCTGGAGGAGCGAAGGGCGACAGCGCTGCAGTCTGTCACACACAACTCAGCACAGCTGGGGAGATGGAAAGAAGTGAAACGAACAGGGAGGGATAGAGACGGATGGAAGTAAAAGCTAAAATGTTCAAATAGCTGAAAATGAAAGCTTTGGCTGGCAACGCGAAGAAGTTATTTTTCAAATTACAGAGCAATTATAACAGTGTCAGATCAAACAGCTGTGTTTTAATGAAACTGACTCATAAAAGATGCATTCCAAATTTAAGCTCTCCAAAGAGTGTCGTGTAGCCAGAAAAGGGGGGCTGTCAGAAGAATCCCAGGAGGTCTGACCCTCCAAATGGCAAACTCATCTGACAAATGAAACGCTCTGTAATCAAAGACCAATCACATAATTGCTCTATTTTGCCACTAGCTCAACCATCTCCTGCCAGATTAGTTGTTCAGAGGAGAAACTTGATACTCTGGGAAGTTAAACAGATGTTCAGAAAAAACAACAAAAAAAACAAACTAATCCCCCCAGAACAAGAACACATCATCAATATAATATGTTCTAATTTAGGAGCGCTAACGCCCCTACGTCCCCTGCGCGCAAGAACTTCACGAAAAACGAAAGTGTTAATGCGGAGTCACGTTCACACAGTCCACTTCTCAGCAAGAAAACCAGGAAGAATCGCCAGTCTGGCATCAAAAGAATATCTCAAACCTGACGTCAGAGCCGGGGAGAGAGCGAGCTCGAGCACTCTCGTCTTTATCAGCTCATATTGCATATACAGACAGGACCTCACACGGGAATTTGTTACACACAGTGTTTGCATGCACAAAAATGTCCGTGGCTCCTCACAGTCCCGCACTGTTTAAAGATTCCAAGTTGGGAAGCAATAACTGAAGGAGAAAGCCATTTCTCCTCATCCATTTATAGTGTGCGGCTCACTTTAAACTTGGCTACGGCTCAGTCATGACATCAACTGGTTCAGGCGTGAGAAAACGCTGTTTTATAAGCTGAGGCGACCGGCTCTGAATTTTTTCCTCTTCTTATTGTGTTTAGTTTAGCCTCACAGAGGCACAAAGGCAAGGGGTCCCCTGCCAAACTGTCTCTGTATCTGCTGATACTCTGATCAACACTGACAACGTGAGAAATGACACATTTCCGCCGCATAGTTGCATTTCACGGGGCCATCGTCACGGAGCACTTAAGAGTCGAGGAATGAAACATCAGAGGGATTAAAGTTGGAAGGAAGTCGATTTTTTGAGGGGTCCCACGTTCCCTCTCGCTCTTGGAGAGTGTATATTTTACGACACAGTCTTACATACTATGGTCTGGGACCGATTCACTGTTTGAAAGTGGGTCAGTAAGACCTGGAAGAACCGCTGATCATGTTCGCTGCTCCAGCCAAAAGGAGAATAATGTTCATTCAGATGGAAAATGTGCACAGGAGAAAAAGAGCCTTATAGGATTTGCAGAGGACTGTATGCAAGCGACCCCTGTCCAGCATGCAGAGCTGAATGCATATCCAGGACTTACATGTGCACATTCATCTGAGCACGATCGTCTGTGAATACTGCAGGTTTTAATCAACATGGCACTCCGCTGTTTGCCTTCCTGGACCATTACGCAACATTACTATCTCACCGTTGGCCTGTCCTCATACACTTTGCATATAAACAGGGCAGATGAAAGTAATTATCTGTGAGCCATGGCCCCACTCTTTCATATCACATGGTTAATTAGTTGCTTTTAGCCCTGCATCATCTGGAACTGTCGGTCTTTCAACTGGCGGGGAGGCGGAGACCTTGTAAAACTGCTTTTAACTGAACAACATCACTTTCTCCAGTGCCCTCGGTGGTTGTTTACAATATGCAAGCGGAGAGCAGGACCATGAAATGCGGTGTATACTCAATAAACATTTAGCAGGATTAGAAAGTATGTTTAGGGCTGTGCCTCTCTGTTGAAGAGCGACTTGATCCTTCCCTGTTGGCAGGTATCCTTTCAAACATATTAGCATTGTAGCTCTGGGTATGGTCATGCTGCCAAGTCACTTGGTACACAACTTGGTTTCAGATTTGAAATTTGGCAAATTGTTATTCTTGGCTTCCCAAAGGAAGGATCCCACTGAGTCTGGCAACTGTTTTTAATTAGCAGGTAAAAGTATGTATGCATTCATGTGTTTCGTTAGGTATGTCGAAGGACTTTGACGATCCCCTTCTTTTTCTTCTAGCTCAACCAGGGGGTTAACATTTGTGGCTGGGAGTAAAGTCTTAACTGGTAATACTGGCCCCTAATGGACGGACAATTCTATGCAGTCTGTGAAAACTTGAATACATTGCAAGTAGCAGCCAGGCATTGCTAATCATTGATCATTAACTGATAATCAGCAAGTGTGAGTAGTTTGGTTTTTGCAGTTTCCTGGTCTGAAGCGTTCAGATATGTGGACGGTCCAGCAAATTCACCCCTGAACAAGTCTGGCCTGTTTGGAAGGGTTGCCAGGAGAAAGCCTCCTCTCTCCAAAAAGAGCATGACAGCATGGTTTATATTTGCGAAGCTCCATCTGAACAAAACACAGGACTTCTGGAACAATGTTGTTTGGACACACGAGACCAAAGTGCAGATGTTTGACCGTAGTGCACAGCGCCATGTTTGGAGAAAAGCGAACAGAGCACATCTCTTACCAACTGTCAAGCACAGTGGTGGAGGGGTCAGAGTTTGTGCTGGGTTTGCAGCCACAGTATTCTAGAAATTAAGCCCATTATTAACATGACTCTACCAGTTTATTGGTTGAGCTCCCA